ATGCTTAGACATTGCAACTGAGAATGGAAGTTGGTGCAATCTCTTTGGGAACTGGTATAGAGGTTCCTCAAAAGCTCAAAATAGAATGACCATCTGACCTTGTCCTTGCCTGGGTTTGTTGCCATAGCAACACCAACTCCAAAGAACAGATGTAGTATTGCTCTCTCCTTTCTACCATGTGGGATACTTTCAGGGCATTAGTGTTAGCTACTCCTTAGAGATTCGGTAGACCTGAGCAGAGTGCACACAGTCCTGAGAGACTCTTGCATGGAGACTGTGACTGCATCAGTCTCACTGCTTGTTAAGAATGTGTTTGAGCTGTTTCACTGGCTCTTTGTATTGTGTTTTGTTTTAGTTTCTATTGTATTAATTTCTGCCCCAATTTATATCACCTTTTTAAATTTTATTTATTTATTTATTTATTTATTTATTTAGATTTTTTGGAGACAGGGTTTCTCTGTGTAGACCTGGCTGTCCTGAAGCTCACTCTGTAGACCAGGTTGGCCTCGAACTCAGAAATCCTTCTGCCTCTGCCTCCTGAGTGCTGGGATTAGAGGCATGCACCACTACTGACTGGGCAGTTTATATGTTTATCTGTTACTTTGGAATTTTGCCTATTCTTTTTGAGTTACATGATTAGGATATTTATTTGTAATCTCTCTCTATTCTCTCTCTCTCTCTCTCTCTCTGTGTGTGTGTGTGTGTGTGTGTGTGTGTGTGTGTGTATGACATGGCATATATATGGAGGCCAAAAAAAAAAAAACAAAACCACTCAGGAGTTGGTTTTCTTCTGCCACCTTGTGGGTTTCAGAGATCAAACTCAGATCATCAGGCTTAAGCACAAGAACTTCTATCCACGGTATAAACACTTATACATACAAAATTTTCTCTCGTAATTGCCATGGCTGTGTCTCAGAGAGACTAGTGAGTTTTTCTTTCATTTCATTTGATCACAGGATTTTTTTCAGTAGCCCCTAGATTCCTTAATGATTCCATGGGCCATTCAGGAACATATTGTATGGGGCTGGAAAGACGGCTCAGCAGGCAAGAGCATGAGCAGCTGATCCAGAGGATCCAGGTTCAGCACTGCCAATAACTCCAGTTCCAGAGGATCTGACGTCCTCTTCTGTGCTCTGTGGTCACCAGGATCACATGCAATGCACATACATACAACATACATGCATACATACATTCATACATACATACAGGCAAAACATTTACACAAAGAAAATAAAAATAAATAAAATTTGGATTTTAAAAACAATATATTACTCAATCCCCAAATGATTTAAAACCTTCTGGGTTTTTTTTTCCAGATTTGTTTTGTTTTGTTGTCTCTGATTTCTCGTTTTATTTCCCTATGCTGTGACAAGATGCAGGAATTTGTTTCAAGGGGCTTTTCTGCATCAGTTAGCATTTGCTTCGTGGACTAAACTGTGCTGTTTTAGAGAAAGCTCCATGGAAAAGTAACAGTTTTCAAAGCGTTAGATGCAGAATTCTGTAGGTATCTGTTATGTTCTTTTGGCCTATGGTAAGGATTAACTCTGAAGTTTCCTTTTGTATTTTTGGTCTGGATGACCTATCTACTGATAAGGGTAGGACTTTGATATCAACTACTTATTGATGTCAACTATTATTACTAGTTATTACTGATGCTATTTGTATCAGGGCCTGTCCTTTAAAGTCATTAGTGACTTCTTTTGTTTGTTTTGCTTTTTGTTTTATGAAATCAGGATCCCTACCATTTAGTGCATAGACATTTACAACTGTGTATTCTTGATGAATTAGTCCCTCCAATAGCATGCAATGGCCTTCTTTATCTCACATAATTTCAATTTAAAAGTCACTTTATCAGTTATCAGAATTGCTAAGCCAGCTTGTTTTCAGTGTCCATTTGCTTTCTCAATTGACTATCTCTGCCAATGAAGTATGTATCTTAGAAATAGAGATTTGGATCCTATTCTGTGTATCTAATCAGTTTGTATCTTTATTTGGAGAGCTAAGAACAGTTATATTTAAGGCTATCACTGAGAAAATTTTGCTAATTCTATTTCATGTTGGTTATTTTCTATACTGGTTGGATTAAGTTCATTATTTTTTTTCTCCATCACAGATGATAAAGTTTTTTTGGTTTACTGTGTTGATGAATTCATTCTTAGCCCCTTAGTGAAGTGTTTTCATTTTGTGTTCTGTGGTGGAAACACCTCTCTAAGACATAACAGTGATCGTCTGTGTCTCTCACAGCCTACAGTGTTCCCAAGGGTCATCCAAACAGATGCTTGTGCTCATCTCACTTGCTCAGTCTTACACATTCCAGGATCCCCTCACAGGGAATAGTGGCATCCAGTCCACAGTAGACAGGTTTTCCTATCAATCAACCTGATCAAGGTAATTCGCACAGGCATGCTCAGAGGCTCACCTGCCTCCCCAGGTCATTCTAGAGCTCATCAAGTTAATAGTGAAGACTAACCATCACAATATGTTGTTTGTGTGAGCACAGGCAAGGAGCTATTTATGGGAACACAGACAATTGATGTGGCTACACCACTGAAGAAAATGGCTTCCTCTACCCCCAGTAACCATCAACTTCCAACAGCTTCCCAGAAAGGGATGGAGCCTCTCCATCATCCATGGTAGAATATCAACAGGCCCCATCTTGGGCAAGCCTTGTGCAGGCAACCACAGCTGCTGTGAGTTCATGAGTGTAACAGCCATGCAGAAGACAGTGTTGCATGGTCCTGCACCAGCCATGTCACGTGCAGAAAATAATGCTTCACAGCCCTCCCGCCCATCCTCCGAATCTTATAGTCTTTGTGCCCTTAAGGACAGATCTTTCTAACATGTTACAGTGTTCAATGCACCCCAGCATAAACCTCATACATCTGTGACATCTTAATATGCATTCCAACCAGAATAAATTAACCAGACCCAAAGGGTGCACAGCTCAAAGAGCTTCTATACTGTAAGAGCAGCAATTCTGAAGCCACGGAAAATCACATTGGATTTCACACTTTCACCATCAAATGTACTTATCCACCACCAAACCCCCAGAAAATTATAAAACTCAGGACAGAGTAAAACCAGAAAAGCAATTAGCCTTCTGTCGTCTTTTACAATGTAAGTGTTCTTTTCCTTCATTCAGCCCTTCCTTGTCACCCTTTCATTTATCCTTCCTATGTTTTACTGTGCCTCTATATACATTTGTTGATATGTATAGGTAAAGTTTCTGCACCCCGATAAGCCTCTCCGCGATGCAATAATCCAAAACAGACCAAATCAAACCGAATTAGAAAAAGCCCAGATTTAGTGGATACAATGCTCCTGGAAGGCTCTCCAGCACCCGCGCCCCCAGAGGAGACAGGGAAGGAAGACCGGAAAACCACGTGTTTTAAACTGGGGAGCAGTTTAAATACTCTGTGGGAGTGGTCTTAAGCATTTCTGGGGAGGGGTCATCTTTTGCCAGGCTTTCTCAGGAGTGGAGTCTGGACTGAGGCAACTCCGAGGAGGAGGGGACTTGGGGCAGAGCCTCCGACCGAACATTCCAGACTTTTTGGATACATGGATGTCAGGGGCTGGAGTGAAGTCTTCACCCAGCCATTCCAGACTCTTTGGGTGTATGGATGCCAGGGGATGGAGTGACACTTCCACCCAAACAGAATACATATATACCATAGGCTACAGTCCTCATGTGAGGAAGAAGATGGAGTGTTTTTTTATTCTTTCTGAGATTGTGTGACCTGGCTTAACATTGTACATTCCAAGTCCTTTGACTTTTTTTCTGCAAATTTTTAAATTTCATTTTTCTTTAGCACTGAATAGAATTCTAAGTCATATATGTACCAACCTTTCACTATCTATTCATTTATTGATGGAAAACTAGGGTGGTTCCTCTCCCTTGTTATATAACACAAGGAAGCAATAAACATGGGGGCACAAATCTCTCTATGACAGGGTATGAAATTCTTTGGGCAAATGTCCAGGTCGGAAACATCTGGGTTGTATTTAATTTTTTGAGAAATCACCAAACGTTTCCCCATAATGTACTTGATTACACCCCACCAACAGTGAATAAGGGTTCCCCACACTCCACAACCTCACCAACATTTGCTGTAAAATCTCTTGATGACAGCCATTCTAACAGGGGGTGAGTGGGTATGCCGAAGTAGTTTTTGTGTGCAATTCCCCGATGGAGATATCCAGCACTTTTTAAAATAGTGATTATGCCTGTATCTATTGTTTTAAATTGTATATTCAATTCGTTTGCACATTTGTTGGATAGCAAAACTTAGGACTTTGCTAAGCATATGCCATTGATGTTGTAACTTTCTAATGGATTACTACATATCTAAAACACACATACACCTAGAAATGTGTGTAAATATAAAAATTAACACTTTGAAGAGATAAATCTGTCTCTGGAGGCAGGACTAACGGAGACCTTGTTGTTGGTAGCTTTTGTATTATTGACCTCCTAAAATGATGCAATATTACTCTAGTAGAAATAAATTAATACTTTTAAAGTAAACCCACCCATGCAGAGATGTAAGATGTCAAATTTGCTTAGCTACAGTTGATTTCCCCAAAGAGTTTTTTCCTTTCACAATTCATTTTTAATTGATGCATTTTTTTTAATCTGGTACAGTATATTTTGGTCTTAAATACATAACTTGTCCTAGCTGAATTTATTTACTTCTCCAAATCATCTAAGTACTCAAAGTTTTTTGTTTGTTTGTTTGTTTTGTTTTTCGAGACAAGGTTTCTCTGTAGCTTTTGGAACCTGTCCTGAACTAGCTCTTGAAGACCAGGTTGGCTTCGAACTCATAGAGATCCTCCTGCCTCTGCCTCCCGAGTGCCGGTATTTAAGGCGTGCGCCATCACCATCCGGCTGAGTACTCTTAAATCAGTTGTTTATACGCGTTGTTTATACATGATCTATCCACCAGGCGACACCAGAGGTCTGCGACAGACAACACTCACAGATGCAGTAAGGGGGACTCCAGCGGGCTCCCGTACAGTCTGAAAGCGGATGTGGACCAGTCAAAATCACTTCCGGGGGCAGCCAAGCGCTATGAGCGCCAACGCGGAGCCGAAGCGGCGCCCCGGAGTTGGGGTCGGCGTAGTGGTGACGAGCTGCGAGCATCCTCGCTGCGTCCTTCTGGGGAAGAGGAAAGGGTCGTTTGGTGCCGGCAGTTTCCAGCTTCCTGGGGGCCATTTGGAATTCGGGTGAGCGGGTCTACCGTGACTAGCACCAGTCCTTCAACAAATGCGTCCGTGTGGCGCGCGTTAGTGCGCAGTTGCGTTCCGTATGTTCTCTACGGCATCGGGGGTTCTTCCGGGCTCTCGCCGGGAGGGGGCGCTGTGCCAGGGTCCTCGCTCCTCCCTCCCCTGGCTGCAGGTGGGAGTCGTCTGTATGTCTTGGTGCTTACAAAGAAAATGGATGTTTATGAAAACCTGGGAGTCTTCGCTTTGCCCCATGAATTTTAAATATATTTCATTTCTGGCCGCGTTGCCTGTGGGAGTGTTTTCCGCGGTGGATGCCCCACACCCACAAAGTGGGAAGAGTGGCTAAGTCGGTTTCTACACAAGGCAAAGAAGCCCTGACCTAGAGTTCATAAGTGTGTTCTAAACAGAGTGTGATTAAATATAACAGATAAGAGGACCTAAATCCCCAAGATCCAGGGTTGCTCATTTTAGTAATGTAAAGGAATATAAAACACTTTATATGGAAGGTGGATGCTCAAACTTTCTTATGCCTCCTTCCAGCCAACATGTACTTGATTTTTCTGGACTGTTTAAAAGGGAATCCTAGACTTCCCATTATCTGTAAATACGTGGGTCAGTATTATCAAATAGGTTTTGTTTTGTTTTGTTTTGTTTTGTTTTGTTTTGTTTTTTGAGACAGGATATCACTATGTAGCTAGCTCTTGCTGACCTGGAACTCACAGAGATCAGAGATCTGGCTGCCTCTGCCAAGGATTCTCCTTGAGTGCTGGGGTGAAAGGCATGTGCCACCGCACCAGACCCTACCAGTCTCTTGTGGCATCTGCTTAGTCCAAAGCGAACATCCATTCCAAGATGAAAGTGATGCTTGTTCATGGTTGCCCTTCTCTATTTTTAACCCTGGGGACCTATGCCACATAGCTGTCTCCTAACAAATTTCCACTGTGGAATTTCCACAGTCTCCGTGTTCCTGTGAAGTCGGATTTACCAGCGAATTTCTGCTCTGAAGCAGTGCACTGGGCGAGCCTTGTGAAGCTGGGCAACCCAATGTGCCTTTGACAGGGGAAGTCAGGTGCCAGTATCCTCCAGCTTCTGTGACTGACTCTTTTTCTGTTTGATTTTGTGTTTGGGAGTTTTGTTGTTTATCTGTTTTGTTTTTGAGACAGAGTCTTATTCTGGCCCATGTTGGTCCAGATCTCACTGTAGCAGGGGTTGGCCTGGACTTAACGTTGGTCCTCCTGCATGATGGATTCATTGGCAGTGCCTCTCACTAGCTTGCCATCATAAGGAAAAGAAATATTCCTACTAGGCTAAAAATGCACATCTTTCCTCTTGGAAAGGTAACCTGTCCATCCTCTGTGGCCTAGGAGCCCACTGTTCTGGCCTCCTGCAGCAACCCCCCAAACTCTGACCACTTTGCTTTCTGTGTTGCCGAATGGCCTCAGTTTTGAGGCTTAAATTGAAATTTGGAAGCCATTTAATACCTTTTTGAAACACAACAACCCGTGAGAAATTTAATGTTTCCCTTTTCTATTTAAGATAGAAAAAACTTCAGGTTCCAGCTTGGGTACAGCTGACTTCAAAGCCTGGGTTCTCACCCGACACACTAAACCACCCGCTAGCTGCCTAGGTCTAGCTCCAGTCAGAGATATTAATGTCGGTGGTTAAATGCTGATATTTGTCCAATATAAAGCTCTTTGAGTCTTCAAATCACTAAATATAGAATATGCAGAATGTCAAGTCAGGGCTTTCCTTATTTCAAAGCATAAACCAATGACTGTTGCTTCTATTCTATACTACCGCATTTCACCCAAGAATCCCAAGTTGTGTGTACACTGAACAGACTGTGTTTCTCCAGTGAGACCTGGGAAGAGTGTGCCCAGAGAGAGACCTGGGAAGAGGCTGCGCTCCGCCTGAAGAACGTGCGCTTCGCCTCCGTGGTGAATTCTTTTGTTGAGGAGGAGAACTACCATTATGTCACCATATTGATGAAAGGGGAGGTGGACATGGCGCATGAGTCAGATCCAAAGAACATGGAACCGGAAAAAAATGAAAGTAAGAGAATCATATTCAATAAGGAGTGTTTCTTCAAAGAAACACATCATTGTGAGTAGCATTGCTTTCTGACAGAAAATTAAAAATGAAAACCCCTGTGTTGAAACTGTAATCCTCAAGGTGATGGAAACAGAAGATGGGGAGTTGGGGGCGTGGTTATGTCATGAGGGCAAAGCTTAGCCTTTGCGATGCTGTGACAAAATGCCCAACACTAGCAAGATAGGGAAGAAGATTCCTTTAGCTCTGATTCCTAGGTTTTAGCGCATGGTCCTGGGCTTTGTGGATTCTGGGCCCTTTGTGAGGTGGAATGTCAAGGAGACACTATAATAGAGGCCTTCTCACCTACCAGCTCCACAGCAGAGAGGCAGTGTGTGAAGGGCCAGGTGTAGCCTTCTGAAACAGACCAGGTGTAGCCTCTAAAAAGAGCCAGGTGTAGCCTCTGAAAAGGTCCAGGTGTAGCCTCTGAGAAGGGCCAGGTGTAGCCTCTGAGGAGGGCCAGGTGTAGCATCTGAGAAAGGCCAGGTGTAGCCTCTGAGAAGGGCCAGGTGTAGCCTCTGTGGAGGGCTAGGTGTAGCCTCTGAGGAGGGCCAGGTGTAGCCTCTGAGAAGGGTCAGGTGTAGCCTCTGTGGAGGACCAGGTGTAGCCTCTGAGGAGGGCCAGGTGTAGCCTCTGAGGAGGGCCAGGTGTAGCCTCTGAGAAGGACCAAGTGTAGCCTCTGAGAAAGGCCAGGTATAGCCTCTGAGAAAGGCCAGGTGTAGCCTCTGAGAAAGGCCAGGTGTAGCTTCTGAGGAGGGCCAGGTGTAGTCTCTGAGAAGGGCCAGGTGTAGCCTCTGAGGAGGACCAGGTGTAGCCTCTGAGAAAGG